TGCTGTGTAGCAAGAACAAATAAACTTCTGAAATATTAGCTTCCTTGTCTATTATTTTTTAAGAAGCTGCGAAACATTTTCAGGAAGCCCAGTGATCCCACAAATCCTTCTTCCACACATGTATCTCCCTCTACACAAAAACAACAGTCGAAAGAACAGAACTAATGATTTAAGCCGCAAGGCTACTACAAGGCATTCAATAGTCTTCTTGGCAATTGTGCTGGTTTTAAAGTGTCCATCCGCACCACTAGTATGGCTGAAAACATGAGTGGTATTAAAACATACCATGGTCCATCTAGCCTCCTTCTTCTGTGACCTGTTCTTCTCCAGTTCCTCCACTAAACACAGCCTGCCTTCCTAGCTCTAAATGTCACTATGCGCTCTGTGCAAAACCAGTGAAAACCAAAACCCGCTCATATCTGGTCTACAGACTCAGCATATGTCTCAATTCTGACCTGTTACCACAAACCGCTGTCACTTTGGCTATAAACTGACACACGGTATAGCTGAGGGCATTCCCAAGCACTGATGAAAGTCTTAAAATATGTATCTATATTTTTGCTGTAGTCGCTCTTCTGTGTTCTACCAGTGTGAGCACTGAAACCTTCCCAAAAAGCCAAAGAAAACAAACAAACAAAACAAAAAAAAACAAAAACAAAAACAAAGAAAAAAAAAAAACAACAAAAAAACCCAAAACAAAACAGCAAGACTAAATTGACATGACCAACATCAACCTTCCCTACCACATACCTGGGAGCTTCTGTACCACTGTTTTATTTACACATCAAGACTAGGTAGCACAGCTTACACTGCCACCTTCAAAATGTCCTTGAGAACGACACAAATAGCTCCAAGGCTACCCGTCCCATCTGCTGAGCATCCAGTTAGGATGAAGAGCTAGCCCAGCCCAGCACAGGCTGGTGCTGGGGCAAACTCTTGACACTGCATTCCTTAATGGTGACCATAGACCATCAGACACAGGAAACAGCAGGCTATTTACCAGTCTCTTCTTGAAGATGAAAATAAGCTTATACAAACCAAAATGGAATTGAAGTCAGAGATCACAGTGGTAACAGGTCAGAATACAGGAAAAGCAATTTTGATAAAGAGGTCAGAAATGCAGTAATTAAACTTTCAATAAATACTGCACTCAGAGAGCAACAGGCAGTGATAGAAAAAAAAAAAAAAAAACAAAAACCAAAAACCAAAACACTCTCTCAAATGCAATGCTTTGGAAAGTGATGCAAAAACCAGGACGGTCTAGAAAGCAAGTTCAAAGAGAAAAGTATTATAAAAAGTAAATGATTTTGACATAAGTACTTTCTAGTGTTAAGAGGAAACATGAATGCTCTTGTGGAATGAACCCTGTCCTACTAAAAAATGCACACTTCTAATGGTAAAGGTACCACATGTTTTACTTTAAATCAAATGGCTGCTCTAGGTGTAAGAAAAACTGAAAGTCTGCTTATCAAAACAAAGGCGAGATGTTTACATACTGACAACAAACAGTTCTTGTTTGCTGCTGCTGCAATCATTAAGTAGCTTTTCGCATCACAAATCAACACACACGATCCAAATGAATTGACTGTAATTTTTTTTTTTTTTTTCAATTTAATTATTTAATCTTACTGCCCAGGTACCACTTCAATCTTTCATCACTAGATAGGATTTAGGAACTTCCCTTTCCTTTCTGAGAATCTGATTTGAAACAAAGTATCAACTGTTCACACTTTAACACAATTACTCAAGACTTCCTTGGAATGAACACTGTCCACCTAAGGAAATCCTGTCTGGTTAAAGTGAGCAATTATTGGTGGAGCCAGCATGTAGAGTTCTCATACATGGAAAATTAGAAGTCTTGAGTTACATACACGTCCCTGATTTTGGCTGAAGTCTGCGGACAGGCATTTTAAACCATTTGTGTGTGTTTACCATTGGATGGGAAATGTAAATATGACTGAATAAAACCAAAATTGGTCAGATACCCAAAAACAGTATTTAAAGGTCCTTGTATGCAGACAGTTCTTCCACGTAAAACTTTATCCCAGCAATATACATCATTATATACACAGAGACAACAAATCAATTATTTTTCTCTTCCAGTACCCATAAGGAACCATACTGAAGTCAGCAAGACTCAGCACAGACGCCAGAATTACTCATATAAAATAAATTTAAAAATAGAATCAGGGCCTAAGGACACCAACTTCAGCCAGAGAAGAACCAAAAGTGATCAGCAAAGTATCATCTGAAAATGATGTGAAGCGAGCAATCAGGTTAGTGGGTTTCTGGTTTCTTGCCTTAAGCTAGTAACTGATTTATTACTGCCAGGACATGTATTTTTCTCGGTGTACTACCGAAAAAAGTGAAACAAGACAGCATTCAAAACAAAACAAAACCAAACAAAACAAAACCAAAACAAACAAGCAACCACCCCCCCAAAATCAAGCTTCAATATCCTATTCTAGCAGCGTTTTAAAGAAAATCGGAACGTAAAGTGTAACCACCAATATAGAGTTCTGAGAGTTAATCCATTCCAAGCAGGTGATAGACACATCAATGCTAGCTAGAAAACATTCAAGTGTTACCCATTTGACCTGCTATCCCTTCTTACCCCCACTACTCCCTTCCAAACAATTATTATTGTGAATTAATGTTGTTTAATACAATGATGACAAGTTATTGCTCTGGTTGTCTTCTGTATTTTTTTCCATCTGGGAAAAATGTAAGCCCATCATTTATTGTGCTGTTGCAAACCAAGTCTTGTAGTGTCAGGCTTTTGTCTAACCAAGGAACAGAGATGCCCACACATTTTGCTAGATCAACTCCACCAGGCCAACTAAACAATTTAAATGTTATTTCTGCAACTCAGAATTTAAAAGCATTAGTCTTGTAACTTGTCTATAATTAATAAGCAACACAAGCAATAACAGTCAGATATTCCAGTTACTGTAATTCAAAGTTGTCATTCCTTCCCTTCAGCATATGTTCTGAACAGAACATATGTCCTGCACAGGTCAGATGAAAGAATATCAAGTGACACCCACAAAGTAAATTCTACTCAAGGAGACATCAGAGCAAGATTAAGGTCACAGGTGCATTGTACAGGTAACAGGAACAGAACTACAGAGGTCCCAAATATCAACCTTTCCTTGCTGAGGACAGAGACGTGTAAAAGACCTACCAGACCCCTTACACCTGGTTAATATATGGCTGTAGGAACCAGTGACAGTGTCTTCAGAAAAAACACCTGCTGTTCACATGACACCAAAATAAGATGTGTGCATGCATTATGTTAGAAAGATCCAGAGTTCTCTCACTCTTCTGTCACTCAAGAAACAGTAACAAGAACAACTAATAACAAAAATAAATCCTGCATCAACCTCCGGTTTACTGAAAAGAGAAATCAGGATGGGACAAATTACCTGTAACCCATCCACTGGTATGGGGCAACCCCACAAAAAGTTGACCAAGATGATCTTTTGAGGTCACTTCCAACCTGGGCTATTCTATGATTCTAACTTACCTGCATCATGACAGTTTACATACACTAAACTTACCTCCAACTACAGATGCCAAAAGAGGGGATGCCTACCTGCTCCCCTCTACTCTGGCTGGGGGTAGCATGGGCAACCCATAACATCACAGGGACTGCGGGTGACTTTCACAGAGGGTAGGCTGGGCTCCCTAAACATACTCCAGAGACTTTTTCAAGGACATACTGCACTCCACAAGCTCCTCCAAAGATGCATGTGCCTCTCCTTTATTAAGATTTTTGTTCCACTCTATTCTGAGGGAATGAGGGTCACCTCATACACCAAATAACGTAATAACAAAAAACTCTGGCTTCAGCACAGACACTTCTACATCCATTCATGCTCCCTCCTGGTGATTACCATCAGGTCCAGTAACCACCAGCTACGAGAACTGTTTGTTCTGATGAACAACATTAGACCTGTCTGTTCTCCTATCTTTGCCCTCAGTCGAGATCAGGCAGTGCTGTCAGAAAAGCACCGATACAACTGCCTGCAAGCACTGGCTGACCCCAATTTCAGTCCGCCAAAAGCCATCCCCAAGCATGGCTGTTAACATGAAACATTAGGAGACATATTACCTCTCCAGAAGTGCTGTGAGAGGAAGCCATTACACGTAGTCCTGTTTCTTGCTATTTCTGTGTCACTTAAAAATAGATATTGAGGAGAAAAACCCACAGCTATACCACAGTTGGAGATTTGATTGCTCTCTGTTGGAAACAGGTCCTCCAACTTGCCCAAACAAAAGCAGGCACCTGCCTGGAGCTCCCCAGCAAGTCAGCTATTTTACTTGAGCACACTACTTTTTTTTTTCCCCCCTCACACACGTTCCCTACTACCCCGAAGTTGCCAGACTCGAGTCGCTGGTCCATCCCGAGGGAGAGCTGGGAAGCCGGGTCACCGGGGGGCTGGGGGCCTCTCCAGCACCACACACACACACACACACACACACACACCCGATGTGCTGTAGTCTGTAGGGGTCTCACAGGGCCCAACACACCGAGATGACACTTGTAAAGAACATAAACCCTCGTTCACGCCTGGCTTGGTGCAGCGACCTTTCCGGACTGGGAAATAACGCACCGGCGGGCCGGGCTTCTCCTAGCCGCCCCCCCCGCCCGCCGAGGGGCTGCAGGCGACGAGCCACCCCCCCCCCCCCCCCCCCCCCCCGCCCGCTCCCGCACCGCCCTGGATTTTGATCCCGAGGAGGCCACGTCCCTGCGGTGACAAAGCCCGGCCTGAGCGGTGCCACCTTCCCCACCCACCCGGAGGCCGCGACTGAGCGGCGGCTCGGAGCCCCCCTCAGCCCCCGGCGAGCGGAGCGAAAGCCGCCTCAGGCCGGTGCGAGCCCCCCCACCACCCACCCACCCACCCACCCACCCACACACACACACACACCCCCGCCCCCCCCACCGGGGCAGCCCGCCGCCCCGCCCTCCGCCTCGCCTCAGCGCGGCGGCCACGCACCGTATAGAGCAGGTTGAGGGCGCAGAGGCAGTTCCTGGAGCAGGCGAAGCCCCCGCACACCATCGTGCCGCCGCGGAGCCGCCGCGCAGCACAAGCCGCGCAGCACAAGCCCGCCCAGCCAGCGAGAGAGCGAGCGGGCGGGCGGGCGGGCGGGCGCGGCCGCAGCAGGTGAGCGGCGCCCGGCGCCCGCTGATTGGCCGCTCCCGGGCGCAAAGGTAAAAATATGCAAATGAGAAGGCGCGCGGGGGGCTGGGAGGTCACCCCGTTATCCGCGGGCACCGCCGGCCCGGCCTCCCGGGCAGTTTTGGGTCGGCGGTGGCCCCGGTTCCCTCCCGCGTTCTCTCCCTCTGTTGTTACGAAGGCGCCGGGGTCTCCTTCCTCCCCGCCGCGGGGCTGAGGCGCTGGGGGGAGGGGACCTCGCTGGGGCCCGAGCTGAGGGTGGCCGGAGGCGGTTTGGCGTTTCCTCGGCCATTTTGTTGATTAGGGACCGGGGGGCTCCTCGCGGCGGTTTCTACGGAGGGTGCAGGACTGTAATTGAGGGCCCTGTGTAATCGAAAGGAGGCATCTACGGATTTACTCTTCCAGGGCATTGAAGTGTTTGGACTATTGTGAGAGCTCTACCAGATATTCATCCGCATAGTTATCTCTTTAATTTTTATTAACAGTTATGTTTCCACTGTGCCTCTTGCCAGATATTTACATCTGTATATTTTCCTTAGTTTGAGGGTTAAATATTTTTAGTTGCAGGTAGTCAAAATCCTCCATCTCTTACCAATTTCCTACTAGTCAGTACCAAGTTTTTGTTACTGGTTTAAATGGTTTGAACAGTGTCTCAGTTCACTAATACCTTCCAAACTCCTGTCTCCACGGTTGCCATGGGCTGGACTCTGCTATATGATACTTTATAATAAATACAACAAATGTAACACTTGCTAGCCACTTCATCGTGTATATGTGTTGCAGGATTAGCATTCATTTTTTTTTTTTTTTTTTTTTTTTTTTTGCTGGTCTTCACAGACAAGAAGACATATGTTACTCCCTTGGGATGTCTGTGAGGGTACACAGCGCAGCAGTTTTAATCAGGGTTTGGTGCCAGAGAAGAAGTTGTGGTGGTCAGTTCTGAGTAAGCAGAGGAAGCTGCATCTACTTTCTGATGAATTCACAACAATTCTTAATAGGAACTTGTCATCAAAACAATTTAAGAAGGGAAATTCCAAAAGCATTTTGTTTTATGTAATTTGGCTGGCCTCTGTCTGCTAAGGGAAGCCACAGCCGGCTAATAATCCTTGCCAGCAGTGAGACAGAAAGAGGCTGAACAGCAGCAGGCTTTGTCTTTCCTGGTCTGTCACTCAGATCTTATTTTCCATGCTTTTTGATATTTTGCCAGACTTATGCAATTAAATATAATGCACACTTTTTTTCTCATGCAAGGACAAAGGCTCATTGCTTTTTTACTGATTTATATCTACCTCTCAGCTGCTAGCCAGGCAACAAATTAAAGTTCTCCAATATGTGTGACCACAAATTAAATCTGAACGCTCAACAGCTGCTGAAGCTTTCTGTTTGTTTCTAAACTTGACAGACAGACTATCCCTGCCGCTGGAGTTTTGTGAAGTGACAGGATGAGTGAAAAATCTGTTGTGTTTTTTTTTTCCCCTTGCTAATTAAACTGATGCTGCTGTGGCTAACTTGGCCTTCTGGGAATGCAGATTTACAGACTGGAGCCTTTACTGGGCCATGCTTCTGATCTTTTGGGCCCAAGTCTGTCAGAGCGTAAGCCCGATATAAAGTCGCTTGCTTCAGTGCAATTTTATCAACTGCTCTTAATTTTGTTGTAAAGAGTTGTTTCAGAAATTGTTTGATGCCCGCTTGGTAGGAAAGAGTATCTTGAATGTCTGCCCTTTCCGGAACACAAGAAGTCATCAGCATATCAAATGTTTTTTCTTGGATTTTGTTTCAAGTGCTCACATCTAAAGTTACTGGGACATTGTTCCTTTGGTTATAGTGCTGAATTATTCAATGTTATCATCCACTGCCCTTCTTCTTAGAAGATCTCTTTCACTATTAATTATTAAAAGTTGTACCTCCGCTTTCTTAATTGATGCTGGTGTTTCTAATTTGGGGACCCACCTCCTACAGCCCTTTGTGGGTGGAAAGTACCTATTACATGTTCACTTCTTCAGGTGCAGGTAGGCATCTAGCCACATCTAATGCAACTTGGTTTGTATTCACCTCTGACCATAAACTCTGGGACACAGTTCAGCTGATACAAATAATCAAAGGCTTCAATTAAATAAATGGAGCTATGATGAACGTAGCTGGGGTCTAGCTCTTCCCTCCCCTCTCCCCCTTCAGTTCTGTTCACAAGTTATAGTACAAACTTGGAATAATGTGGTTTGGATTTAGAATAATACTTTTGCTGTTACAGCATTTGGCTGTGCTGACTGCTATAATTTCTGGTAGTGGTCAGGTCTGTGCTCCTATTCCACATCAGGCTGCCCAACATAGATTGTATTCTGGCTAGAACTAAATTGGCTTAATTCTTTAAAATGGATAATTATAAACTTAGTTACAAAAAGGCTCTCTTGCAGTTGGAGGGAAATCTTTCCTTCTCTGTAGAGAGAGAATAGATACTGTTTATTTGATTTTTTTTTTTTTTTTTTTTTTTTTTAAGATTATTTAAATAGCTGTTCCAAGTAAGGATCCTAAGTATTTGTCTCCTCACCCTTTGTCTCTATAGGGACAAATTCTGCACTCCCATCTGTTACACGAATCTAGAGCTGCCAGACATAACCAAGAGCTGAATATGCCTTTTCCTTTTCTTCCCGCACTTTGATGCTTTTTCTCTGCTTCCTTGCACCGTCGTTGTTTTCCTGCCCTTCTTTGGTGTCTTTCAGTGGCACTGCTGGCAACAGGAGGACCTGTGAACAGTGTGAATTAGTCATTCTTTCCTGGGAAACTGTGATGGGGGGAGAGAACACTGGGCACTTGTAATGCTGCTGACCTGCACTTACAGACGGTACAAAAGTATGCAAGGAAATGTTCCTGCAAGGAGAGAGGGGCATGAAAACTCAGAGTTACCAGGGCTTGATGCCGGCACGCTTCTTACTAGTCCAAAGAGCTTCAAATGGAGCTGCTTGGGTAGTTTTCATTTCAATGTGAAGCTGAGATCACCTGTGTCATTTTCACGTTTCTTGCATGGGGCCTTCTGCTGAAACACTCTGACTCCAAACTCAGCTTGTCAGCAAATCTCTTCTGTTTCTGTAGGCTGCGATCCCACCTTGTTGATGCTGGTTTATAGTAGTTATTATGTGGCTGATGTGCCACAAATTTGAAATGTGAAGGCTCAAGTATATACAAAGTTCTATTAAAGTATATGCTATTGTCTAAAAATTAAGACAGTGTGACCTTCTTTCTTTCTACTATTATAGGGTGTCTAAAACATTGTAAGTGAAACATTGTTTGCAGAAATTGATTTTTATCGCTTTGTTTTTCCCAGGTTTACAATGAGCTGTCGACAGCACTTGGAGCAGTTCATTTCACTCTTTGTCGTGTGAAGTTATTTTTCTTTCCTTGCTGTTTGTCTAAAGTCTCTCATGCACATCAGAATTGGGAAGGGGAAGAACAGGGTTAAAAAGAGCCAGGTATTTCCAGGAGTGGGAATGCCACTTGCAATCTCTGTACTTTGTAATTCTTAAAGTTAGACTTTGGTTTGACTTACTCTTCTTAAATGTATAAGCAAAATATTTGTGATAGTAGGAAAAATAAACATAATGATCTGCGTTATGGTCAACAAAGTCTGTGAAGTAAAATGCTGTTCATGATCAACTGTGTCTCTCCATGGAAAGCGGAGGTTCCAGTGTCCAGCCATTTCTTGTGTCACTGAAAAGAGAAACCTGAGTCATCTTGGTCACCTGAACTGCCTCAGATATTGAGTCATGTCAGTTATTCACCTTTGTTATCAGCAACGCAACAGGTAGAATATATGGAGTCAATAAAACATATATTTCAAATGTTATCTGCAGTAACAATCAAGATTTTTTAAGAGCCAATTCAGTGGAAATGTCCTGTGGACATACTGCAGTTATTTACTGACTCATTGCGTCATGAACTGGCTGTGCTGTGGTGTTTGCATGCAGTCATGAATTTCTCTCTCACTTCCTGGAACAAAAATCAGTTCCCGGGCAGTGCTACCGTGCTCCTGCCATTCCACCCCCAACCTTACAGATGGCCTTTCGGGCACCAGGCACTGAGGAGCAGCCTGGGTAGGCAGAGCTGGTGCAAGGGTCTTCGCTGGCTTACAGCTAGACACACAAGGTGTTGTGGTGGTGGTGGTGGTTCATGTTGATGATCATCATGAGCCACACACAACGGAGGGACAATTTTGGCATACAGAATAAACTTGCCTGGGTTGTTCGGGCTGGAGGTTCTTCTCTGCAGGGGAGAAAAAAATGTACAAAACTGTTTGGCATTTTTATTTATTTTTGAGTGAAGTGGAGCATTGTAGACTGTGAAAGGGAAATTAGGACAGGAAAATAGGCCATTTAGATACAGTGGCTAGAGCAACCCACAACTAGGTCAGAAATTAGCTCTTCCAGCAGCAGAAAGAGATAGCAAATACTCAGTTTAGTAAATCTGACAAGTGGTTACAAAGGAGGACTGATGAAATAACAGTTCGTTCATCTTTGCTCTTGGAAAGACAGATGCCGAATGTATTTCTTAGAGAAACTTTCTGACCAAAATCAAAATGGCATACAGTTCTGGGAAAGCTAAATTGCTGTTAGAAAACTACCTACAAGAGAAACTCTGTTCAAGCAAAAGCAGCTACAGGCAAGCGTGAAGCCATTGTTCTGAATGGAGCTGCTGGATGTCCAGACTCGCTTTTAAGCCGTTCTTTATAATTCCCGCCGGATCCACCATGCAGTGGGTGAAAATAACATTGGAGTGCAACAATAGCATGTCTACTTGTTAATTCAGTTGATGCCCGTGTCTTTTGAATTGTTCCATGAGTAGAGCTTGCCAGACAAAAGCTAGACTTGGTGAAGTTTGTCCCTCTAATGTTTATAGACAGGTGGGGGAGGGGGGAAACAAACAGCAAAGAATTAAAATAGCACCAGGACACTGACTTTAAAAGGAAAGTATATTTTACTGTTCAGCCTTGTAAAAATAGTAAAAGAGGCAAATACTCATTTTATAGGTTCAGAAGCTAGTTCTTGGGATTTTCTAAAAATCTTATCTTGGTTGTAAGAATTGCCTTTCAGAACATTTAAAATCCATTTTGATTTAAGCTGATAGAGTGTTAGGATAAGGAGAGCTTGTTGCATCTAGTGTATTAAAGGAACAACCGGAGGCTGAAAATAGCAGGAAAATTATATTTTGAATAGTAGCACATGAAGGGCTTGTCCCAAAGCCCAGTCCTTCTGTTCAAGACTAGGATTTGGGGATGTCCTGGAATTGGGCTGCATTTAGTTAAGTCTGGAACAGAAAAAGGCAGAATCCTAGATACAGGCAACAAAGTGCTCTCATGCTTCCTGCAGCCAAATCCAAACTCATTTGTGCTGTTAAGTGTAAGCCATGCACATGTCTCTCTGGAGAGGTGGGTAACTGCTGGGAAGGTAGCCCCTCGGAGACAGTGTTTATCATACCCTGTTCTCATGGGAAGTGTATCAGTGCAGTGCGATGGCACCAGATCCACGGTCACATCTGTTCTTCAGGTCTGAAATATACCCAGAAAACTTCAACAGTAAATATAAGTTAAGACAGTAACTGTAATTAACAGGACATGTTAATGCCTGTGGACTAACAGTGGGAGAATAAATAGTTTTCAGATCAACTGCAGTTTTATTGGTCTTATGTCTGCTGCAGGTTCTCATTACTACTGTATCCCAAAGATTTAATCTTTATGAAGTTCAGTTGGAAACCGTCACCACTTGGTTTTGGTTTGAAGGGAAAATGGATACCATCTGCTGAACACCCTACCAGGTGATTCCCTGGGAGAGTTCCAAGAAATCCTGAAGTAATCAGGCATCATATGCTAAAAAGCAGAAATCCGAAGTGTTTACAAGTACATAGCAGAACAGTAGAGGATGGTCTGAGCAAGACCTTGTACTGTGAGAGCGGAAGGGTGGGGAGAAAAGCTGTGCATCACAGAGGAAGTTCCAGCACCAAGGTTCTGATGTAAGCTGCTTAGCTAACCGCTCATCACCAGGTCTGTCTGCTGACTGTGTCACTGGGCATATGAGGTGTGTGACAAGCTGTGTCGTGCCTGTCACAGAGCCGTGGAGAGCAGAGGTTGGAAGGGACCCCAGGAGGTCATCTGATCCAACCTTCTGATCCAACCAAGCTCAAAGTAGGGCTAACTCCTGAGCCAAAGCAGTTTGCTCGGGGAGACGTTCGGTCAAGTTTTGGACATCTCTGAGGATGGAGAGCCACAAGCTGTCAAGCAGCTCATTCCAGCGCTTGAGTACTCTCCCTATGAAAACTTTTCTGTTACCAGAGCTAACCTCCTTGCAACTCGTGGCCGTTGCCTTGTTCTTTTGCTGTGTCCCTCTGAGAAGAGTTTGGCTCTGTCTTCGCTCTGACTCCTTTTAGAGAGTGGAAGATTGCAGTCAGATCTGCCCCCAGCCTTCTTTTATCTAGGTTAAACAAACACAGTTCCATTGTTATTCCTACGTCATGTGTTTAGGAGCCAGAGCAGTCCTTTTTTCCCTGTGATGTCATGAGCTTCTATTTTTCCTTTGACTTCCTGCTAAAGTGGGATAGAGCACTTGTGAGAAAATGGAGACATTTGGTCTAAACCAGCAATCCTCAGGTGAAAGAAATTCACAGGAAGAAGAGAAAGACAGAATGCTGAATTTTGGTTATCTGTTGTTTCTTTCTGTAAGGCACGGTCAGTATGCTCACCCTGCTCCTTCAGCACAGCTTACCTCTAGTAAAGTGAGCTGCTCTGGTCCTGGGACGATGTGAGAATCTTTCAGAAATGGACAACTTACTTGTGAGCAAAACCTTGAAAACATAAGCAGTAAATTGCTCAAAATTCAGAAGGTAAATTTAAAGAACACAGTTTCTTTCCTAATATCAAATCTTAAACCAGTGTCATAGCTAATTTAGACACCTGACATACATTTTGAAGTAGTTGGTGCAGTAACAATGCTATATGCCTCTAGTAATTCATCTTTCTTTAAACTATCTCATTATTAGAACATCCTACCTTCTTTTCTTGCAAAGAGAAGACCTACAGCCATGAGCTGCTAGTAATGTGAATGCGGTACTTCTGAGCATGCATGAGGAGCATATAGAAAACCTATGACTCTTTCCTCTAGTTAGGAAAACAACCTTCCCCTGCCAGCCAGTTCTGCTGCATCACCACCGTCATCTGTGCACAAGCTGGAGACAAGCTGGAAAGCAGTTTCATCATTTGGTCTTTTCCCTTGAAAGCACTAAAAGAGTACCAGGCCCCTGCATAAAAATGTAAAGCAACATGAGTGCTCAGGAGTATGTGCATCAATGAGCACAGCTCTTTATTTTCCAGTAGTCTTCTTGCAAGCAAATGACACTAAGGGTGGAATAGGCACCTAGTAACTATGAAATAGAAGAAACAAACTTTGTTTGTTACTTGGAGTGTCAGGTGATACTTGACAGTGAAACCCTAAAGTCTCATGCTTATTCCAAATTTACTGCTTTGCTCTTGAGCTATACATCCAGCTGCAGTACAGGAGCAGACCCAGCACTGTGAAAATCAGCCTGTTTGTCTTGGTGTGGAGTGCATTTCTGACTTTATGCAGGCTAAGCAATATATAGGCTTATGCTATGCATTTAAACTTGGCTTCATACTGTATCCCACAGGTTAGCTGCTCGTAGAGTCTGCTGTCAGTGCTTTCTGCTGTCAGTGCCCAGACATCTGCACTGGGGACGTTACACAGGCTGACAGTCAGATACTGATATGTGCAATAAGTAATTAATCCCTTAAGCACGCAGGAAGTTTCTGTCAGTTGAATTTGCTTGGTACAATTTCCCTAAAAGAAAGATAAAAGGTGATGGGGCATGGCCTATCTTTCACCAAAGTTTCTCCTCGGAGTCCCAAGACTTGCCTGTTTTTGTTGTCTTGCCAGCCTGCATTCCCAGTGTAGGGTTTGCTCTTTCAAAGCTGTGTTTTTTCATTTTTCTAGTGGGTCCTGGTCGAGACAGCCATCAGTCAAAAATGGTCTGATATGAATCGGCCAGGTATTAACTTTGGTTTGTTAATTTCTTCTCTGTGGCCTCTTTTTTTTGTGCAGTTTACACAGTCAAAGAGAAGAGTGTTCTGATGGTGTGCTAATACAGTTTCCGTTTAATTAGGTACTTTCAAATGTGTCAAGAAACCTTATGCAAGAGAGCAAGAGAAGCAAACAGTAAGGGATGAAGGAAGGACACAGCAGGGTTTATGCTGTTCTATTTTAATTTTTTTTAAGAAAATGAAAGAGTGAAGAATCCCAAAATGAGAGAAAATTTGCAGGGACTGTGCTTTACAGAAAGCACACTGAATTCCAAGCAAATGTAATGGTAAATCTAAACTTAATTCTGCAGAGAATTTTAAATGATGATGGATTTTCAAGTTAAAAATAATCAGTTTCCCAGGATGAGCTGGAAAGTGGTTTTGACACCATCTTGTGTTTTATTTCCACCTTCTGTGTGTGAGTGAGAGATGTCAGCTCTGGAAGCTGCCAGCCTGTCACCACAGGAGTGGCTTTTCTTCTAGAAATGTATTGCAACTTGATGGCACAGTTTCCCTAGAACAGCCCAAGTCGTGGCAGCTCGCAGTGTATTTGCTGCTGCTTGCCTTGTTGGTGCCACCGAGAGAGACACAGCAGCTGACAAAACAATAACTGGGATGCTGCTGAAAAACAAGGCTGATTCAGCAAGAACAAACCATTTTAGATATGAACCTGTTTTTTAAAGGATCCAGCCTTAAATGAATATGATGTACTCAAAATAACGTGCTCTCAAAGGCTGCTTTTCCCCAGGAAATATTTCTTCATGTGGTTTAGGTAGAGCAAGCAATCAGTTGTATTGGGAGCAGACAGGTCTGGAGCACAGGCCACCTGTGAGTGCACTGCGGAGCTTCTTTGCAGCCGTGCAGGGGGATTGCTGGCGTGAGTGACAATAGATGTTGTGAGTGCCGACAGCTATTGTAAGTGGCATTACAGTAGAAGCAGGCCAGCAAAAGTCAGGTAGACTTTATGGCCCTTTCCTTGTCAACAGCAGGCCAGCGTTTGTTTCCAGTCTCAATTCTGGCTATTGGTGTTAAGAAGATTTGCTCCAAGGTGACCAGCCGGAGTGGACTTCAAGTCTCTTTGTTGTGCTTCTCATTGCTATGTCTGTGTTGGGGCTGAGACTCCACCACTTCATCCCCGTAAGTCTCCGCTGTCAGAATTCATGCAGTATTTCCAGATAACTTGATGTCTACCCCGGGTGTCATCTCCCTCTCTGAGCCAAAGGACAGGAAGGTCACTGGTCTGCGAGAACAAAGCAGAAGATCCCTCAAAAGAACAGGATTTACTCCACATACTGGGTAAAACCTTAACTGCAGAGGCTGCTACAACAGTTTTATTTTTAAATTGTATGTTTGTTTTATTTGGCATTCCTGTGTCAAAGGCATGTGTCCTGCACTAACCAAATGATGTAGGCACCTCTGCATTTGGGGAGTAGAGCACATCTGATTTTTTTTTTTTTTTGCCAATAGTTGTGTTTTTTTCACAGTGCTTTATCAGATCTGTTTAATATTATTTTACTGAGCTGTGTGATTTCTGTTTTGTTTTTTTTTTGTTTGTTTGTTTGCCTCTGAAGAATAATATATTTCTGTACGTTACAGGCACAGCACAGCAGTGAAAGAGGACTGGTGAGAGGTAGGTCAGTAACATACTTTCTCCAAATACCTTCTTCAAAACTGGAAGGAGTTTCTGGTTCTGATGCCTCCATCTTGGGGCAATATCTAGATTTCCAACATTTCCATTTTATGGGGTGGAGTCAGAACCCTTGGGAATTCCAGAATATCTATGTGTTCCTGATATTTTAAGTGAATTCTTGTGAGAACAGTCAGCATGGATTTCATCATGGAAACAAAATTCCAGCTTAAATGTCATCTACAGCCTGGTTCAGACCCTCCCGCTGTTGCAGGACTTTAACTGGCAGGTTGTTGCTCTGCTGTCACTCTCATTTATGTTTGTAGAAGGCTGTGCTTCTGTGCTTTTCCGCTAGCTTACTTTTAGGTTTCCATCTATATTATTAAAGTTGTCCCTAGTGGACTCTTCCCTTGATACGGGAAGAAGTTGTCCTTTTTCTTCCTCCCTGAGGATTGGTATTCCCAAGAAGACCACACTTTTCCTCTGTGCCTTTTTCATGTTAAAAAGCCAGGGTTGCTTTGCAACATCAGCACCACCATGTGTTCCTCTTCAGTCAGTGGTCCATATATCTGCTTACAACTTTCAGACCTCTCCCAGACCCTGTGGAAACTTTTTGGAGTTTAGGGTCATGAGAACCAGTTGCTTTAGGACTTCTTTAGTAGATACATATCTTTTATTTACCCATGCTGATTCTTCTTGTCTGCATTTGATTCTTGCATTTCATCTATCCTGCTCAAGTTTAGTAATGTATAAGGGTGAGTTTGCACACAGGCAGAACATAAACAAGTGGCTATTTGCTTTTCTAGTCCTTGAAAGGAGGATTGTGTTATTCAAGTTTAAATAAATCATCCAGATGTGTGCATGTATCATTTGAGCTGCATTTTGCCCTGAGAATTCTTCAGTTAAAGGAGCCCCATCAGCTGCTGTTTCAGAAAGGTCTCTAAAAAAAAACAACTCATTTCAGTTTCTGTAACAGCTACTAAGTTATAACATAAATATAATGATATAGATGCTACATAAATCACTAAACTATAACCAGTTGTTACAAAAATATTAAAACTCACTCACACAAACAAAACTAAGAAAACATGTAAAAGAAACTGTGAATGTGATTATGCACAAAATGCAGTTGAAAGCTAAAAAAAGAAAGGAAAAAGATTGAGATGAAGCAACCTCTGCTCATTGGTAACGGGACCCGGGTGTGACTGCAGGAGGAGCAGCACATGAGAGAGCAGTACATACATGCAGCTTGGTGCAGAAGTGCCAGCACATGACCTTGGTTTATGCAGTTACTCTGAATTGTCTTTCTGTCCTGTTTTTTGTGTCCTGCCCTTCTTGTGGGACTGGCACTTCTCTCCCTCTGTCTTTGCAGCGTTTCCAGGTGCTGGTGTTTCCCCTGACAAGCTACTGGCCTATTTGGGCTCTCTGGAGACTGCATCCCTACGAATCTGGTTGCTGTGATTATTTTAGCACCCGCCGCAGATCTCCCTGGGGGACAGAGGAGTTGTGCCAGCAGATGTGGCTCGTGCGCTCTGCTCGCGCTGGGCCCGGCAGGCAGGCTGGGTGCAGGCTGGAGGGGCTCCAAGGGGGGTGCGAAGCCATGGCGCTTGGTCCCTGCCCCAGCCCCCCGGGGAAGGGGGGATCCACCCAGGAAGTTTTGCTGAGGGTGACTCGGAAACCTGGGCCAACGTGTGAGGGAGAGGAAGGTGAGATACCACGGTAAATAAGAGGTGGTCTGCCTGGGAACAGAAGGCATTGCCGTGTTGGATTTATTGCATTATGTGTGTTTTGTGAGGGGAGAGAGAATTCAGGGTGTTCTCAGCTGTGATTTCATCACAGGATGAAATACCCTTCGATTAGAATTCGGCCTTAATGGTTTCTTGTGGAACAGTTTTACAGGTTGAGAGGTTTCTGGATTCACTAATGTCTTAAGCTCAAAAAAACCCGCAGGAGATAGATAGGAAGTCTCTGATAGCAAGCAGAAATAGAACATTATTTCTATTAACCCCAGAATCCCACTGTCGTGATAAAACCACAGAAAAATGTTTTTATTTCCAAGAGGTGGGAAAAGTGTCATCTTCCAGGTCTGCCCATACCCTGCTTCCATCTCTTGACACGAGAAATTTCTGGCTGTGGAAGCATAGTCCTATCTCCAGGCTGTTTCAGATGTCTTTGCATTGGTGTTACCCCAAGGGTCTGGATCATAGGGACAGACTTGATGCAGGGATGGGTACCCAGCCACATGGTAAATACCTTTTTTTCCCAGCTAGCGTAGTGCTGCCTGTGACCCTTGAGCAAAGGTGGAAAAGTGTGAATCTCCTGTATTTGAACTTCTTTAAGTCATCAGCACAGTGAAAAGGAGAGATTCTGTGACATCTTTTAACCTTTTCTTCCACTGACAGGTCCTACTTATTCCACAAACTATAAATTATCTGCCTACCCACTTCCCTTTAGAATATCCTTCAGTATCACAGATACCATCTGTTTTCTCTTGGATGGTCTTATTGATACAAATCTAATTAAATTTTAGAGTAGTTGTTCTCAGTTGGTTTTTATTTTTTCAAGGCTGCTGCTTATATTTTGGACCTGAAGGACTGAGGTACTTGAAAGCTTATTGATTTTTCCCAGCTAGACTAGTGGGTCTAATACTACAGGTCTGCCTACAAGCCTTATTTTGGTCATATCCTCGGATACATCAACAATGCTGTTTTGTTATTTCTTCTGGTGTAATTTATGGCTGTCAGTGTTACGCAAATATCCCAGCAATAACTAGTAATGATGTGGAGAGGGTTATGTTGGCATGTCAGCAATGTTCCTGAAGTTCATCAGGGAAAAATAAACAGAAAAATCTCAGGCATCTGATGTACTAGAAGAGACTGCAACGCAAATGCATCTTACTATTATGAAGTTGCCATGATACAGTCATTTGTTCATTCTGAGCTAAATATTTCCTCTTTTATTTCTGTGTGTTCCTAATTCAGAGAAATTTGGTGTTCAGGAGTGCGTTTCTCCCTGCTAGTGGAGTTCCAGAGCAGTTTGCAGTTTCCCTGCAGTCCCGTAGGGTGAAGGGTGCTGGACAAACACTCAGGTCCTGTAACACCATCAGTAGATGTGCTAATGATGCGTGTGGGATGCAGTGGCAGTTGTTAATGCTGGACTGTTAAATGAGACACTTGGACTGAGGTCTTTGAGCTTCTGGCAGCCAAGCGCCATGGGAGTGACAGATCCAAAGTACCAAACTGTTACCTGTCAGGCTGCACCCGTGTCGTACTGACAGTTCCAGCACTGGCCTCTTTCCTTGTGCTGACTGGGAGGAGATGGTGGCTCTTGGCAGACACAGTCCAGCAACACCTCTCCAGTGGGCAGGGGACACACCCTGCACGTCTGCAAAACGCAGCCATCCGTGTGGTCCTGCTCGGGGATGGCTGAGACTGACGAGTGCATTTCTCTTGCATCCCTCATGGGAGAGGCAGCGGGAAAGCAAGCACATACTCTTCACTCCCCTTTTTGTCTGGATGACCTCAGATGGGTCGTGCTCACCAGCATGGTGAGGTGAGACTCCACCCAGCTCAGCTCCCACCGAAGCTCCTGAGCTCCCTTGTAAGCTCAGAACATCTTTCTCATTGGGTTATGACGTAGCTAAACTGAAAAGGAGAAACCCAAAAAGGGCCAAGCACCTGAAACTCCCACTAGTGCTTGGGGTGACACGAGCTACCAGGCCTCTGTGGGAAGAAACCGTGGCCACCACTGTGCTGGTAATCATACTCCTGCCAGGAAAAAATAGCAATGGATCAGGTCATCTGGGACACGAGCGCAGCAGCTCTGTGCCAAGGGCCAAATGTAGGTTATGTGCACAGCCTGGGCGTGCTCTCCTGCCCGAGTGCCGTCTTCTGCAGGTGTTGGCATAACTCCCCCTCTCTGGATTTGTTTCTATTTACATGAAGCTCTGAAGGGCCCATGGGGCTGGTAAGGAGCAGGAATTAACTTTTCCTTAAATGTCATAGCAAAACCCTGGTGGTGAAGTGGAACAAGTCAACCCTGAAGATTTGCTTTTTACCCATCCAAAATCAAAAGATGTGGCGCTTTTTTTTTTTTTTTTTTTTTTTTTTTAAATATATACTTACATAATTTGTCCTCATTTTGGTTCTTAATAGCTAGCACAGCTCAGCTGGCTAGCTGGCTGCAATTAGGCCGTGTAATATTACTTGTGTCTCTTTTTGAGAAATGACTGGTTTGTCTTAGCCCACAAGCCTTATTTTAGATAATGAAAAGCCCCATTTTTAAGTGCAAATGTGATTTTAAAGCTAGTTATTCTTGTCCATGAACATGACGAGACCTTAAAGCAGAATCTTTGAGGTGCCGAAGGAGACCCGTTAAAATTACCAGGCATTTATCAGAGCCTCAGTAAGGACGTGTTTGAGCACGACAGGTTTTGTTCTTCTCCACATGCTGTTCAGACAAACCCAGCCAGGCTGAACCACCACGTGCCCTACACCCACCACTGCTCAAGGGCTGAACCCGCCAGTTCTGAAAGCTCCCATTTTGAGGAAGGTGTTCAAAACAGAAACCAGGGTTGAGCAGCCACCGCACCTTTGCAACACTGAAAGTAAGGGCTTGGGCCACGTTTTCTCGCTCTCTTTGCTCGTCTTGGAGTGCTGGTCTGTCATTGCTTAAGTGCAGAAGCTGTCCTGAAAGAAAACTCTGCCGCTCAAATACAAGACCCTAAGAAGCTTGCTGCTAATGCAGCACCACAGAAGTTTGTCAGTGCCCTGCCCCAGGCACCACCTCTGGGGAGCTGGAGCCCCACGATGAGCTGCACCAGGGACCCGAAACCTGACCCGGCTGCCTGCGGGGGGAGGAAGCGCCTCCAGCCCTCTCCGGTCCGTCAGTCCCACTCAGGCCAGTGCACGGGTGCTTCAACAAAGTTCTGCATCTTGAACTGTGAATTATGGCTGCATTGTGAGTAAACATGGAATGACTCGCCCACCCACCCACCCACCTACCCATTTGTTTAGACCCTGTTTAACACTACCTCATGCCTCTAAGTGGACTGTGCGGGGCTTTTAAAAATTTGAGAAGATGGCTCCTTTTCACTTGAAGCCTTCATTTGCATGCCAAGTGAAGATTTGAGAAGCAAAAGGGGTTTTTGTTTTCAGAAAAAAAAAATCGTAACTGCACGGGACTTAAGAAGAAACAAAACCTAGCTTTTGTGGAAATTATGAAAAACATGGAAGCTGGCTAATATGAACCCGGGGGGAGTGGAAAAAGCTGAACCGAGCTATTACCGAGCAGTGTGTGGCTTAAAGATGCTGTAGTGAGCTCTGGTGTGGGTAGTACTGAGAGCTTATGTTCTAACACTGTTTAGTGTAGTTTATGCTTTTCACATTATACCGCTTCCCTGCATTTATACTTAAGCTTGTGTCCTGGGTTGAGTGAGTGGTGGAGTTTTTTGGTGGCAGGGGAGGGGGCTATTGGGGCAGCCCCCTGTGAGAAGCTTCTTGAAGCTCCCCCAGCTCCAAGTCATCTCCACTTCTGTTTGGGAAATTGAGCCAATTGGCTGCGCCTCTGCGATAACGTATTTAAGAAGGGACGTGGTGACGGGCAGTGGGACTTGTGAGAAGGAGCTGCTGCAGCTGCCTGAACACCAAGGTCAGTGGAGGGACGGAGGAAGAAAGGAGGGGGGAGGTGTGCCGGAGCAGAGACCCCCCTGTATCCTGTGGGGAGACGGCAAGGCGGCCCCCCTCTGCCACCCATGATCTACGGTGGAGCAGACGTAGATTTATGGCCTGTGGCTCCTGCTCACCTGATCAAGGTGCTATGCCCAAAGAAGGCCGGGGTCTTGTGGGAAAAGGCAGCCCTGCTGCTGTAATTCAGCGCTGGGAGGATTGCAGCATGTGGGGGAGTCCCACGCCGGAGCAGCTCGGGAAGGGCTGCAGCTGTGGGAGGGAATCCAGTTGGAGGAAGTTAGTGACCCACGATGGAGCAGTGTGGGGAACGCTGCGGCCCGTGGGAGGAATTAAAGTCGGAGAAAGTTTGTGGAGGACTGTCTCCTGTGAGAGGGGGACCACGATGGAGCAGGGGGTAACAAGTTTTGGACACTCCCCTCGCCGAACATGAAGGAAGTGGCAGCGCTGACTGCACCCCCCATTCCCTGCCCCTGCGCCACTGGGGGAGGAGGTAGAGATATCGGGAGCAGAGCTGAGCCCGGGAAGAAGGGAGGGGTGGGGGGAGGTGTTCTCAAGATGTGGCAATGCTTCTGACTGTCCTACTCTGTTATGTGTTGTTAGTGTCTGTAATAAATGTATGTTCTTTTTTCTTCCCCTAACGAGTCTGCCTTTTGCTCGTGATCATAAAAGGGGGATTTTTTTCCCCATCCCAGTCCTATCTCGAACCCCAAGCCTGGCTCTCTGTCCCTTCTCATTGCCGGAGGGGAAGGGAAAGAGCGCTGCTGCATTGTGGTTGGCTGCCAACCAGGCCCAAACCACGGCAGCTTGCTAACCACTTCTGGCCGGCTCCCATGAGCTGGAAAGTGGTGATGCAAGTTGCTCACTTGTTTCTGTGTCCAGCCCTCCATTATATACCAAGCAACAGGCACGAAGTGTTTGATACTTCAAAGTCCTACCCAGGAGCTTGGCTAGCTAAGTCAGAAGAGAACCCACTACCTCATACCTCTTAATGAAGCATAGGGGCCATTCTAGAAGGTGTTTCCCAAGCCCCAAAAAGATGTGATGAGTGTAGATGCTTCTCCTGCACTTATGTGCACCCATACAGCACAGTTTGCTCTGGGCCATACTAGGGTTTCAAGGCATTCCTGCGTTACAAAGAAAGATGTTAATAAATAGCACGTCCTGAATTATGCCTGAGATAAGAATTGATATTTTAAGACATTTTTAATAGCCTTTGAATGTTTTAATTTGGAAAGCCGCAGAGGTAAAATAATGCAGAGCTTAGAGGGATTAAAAGGAATCTAAAAACAGTTTTAACAGCCAGATGATCAATTGTGTGTGTTTTCTTAAACTAGTTGCCCAGCCATTTCTTACAGCACAGGAAGGGAGAGGGCTGAATCACCTGTTTGTCTGGTTGTCACTTCAGTTACTAGTAGAGAGTAGGGTAAATTCCAAGCAGCAAGTGATTGCATCCAGGCTAAAAGCGTTATGTATAAACAATGCTTCAAAATCCCAGTGTTCTGAATTTTCTGAACAACTTTATGAGCAAAGCCAATAACACTCTCAACAAAACTAAGATCCATTCTAAATGTTTTGACATTACAAAGTACTTCATTCACTTAGAAATACCTTCTTTCATGGACTGAAACTGAGTTGTAGTCAAAATATTCTGTGTCTAATTATCTTCCCTTTAGTATTTCACACATATCTTGTACTAGGTGTAATGACTTTCTCATGTGTGTACATTTTAAATAATTTTCTTAAAAAATAATGTTTTATAAAACTATTTGTATATTATTTAAATATATTTTAATATTTAAATATATTGCATGAATAATGCAGTATTCTAAATATGTATGTTTGCCAATACATTTATAAATAGTATTTATATTGAATATGTTATATTAAGCATTTTGATAATTCTTTGAATTATAAATAAAATATAAAGAATGTTCAAAAATAGCTTTTCATTTTTAAATCTGTTTTGACAATGGACAGGGTCTTAATCAGAAAGAAGTCATTACTACAGCTCAGGATTCTTTGTGGAACAAACATATGCATCAGTTCACCACTATCTCCTATGTTCTGAAATTTTTAAATACTAAAAGAGTAACTGGCCATTAATTTAATATATGTAGCCTGTGGATGAACTCAGTTGCAAGACATGTGGTGAGTTTGTTAGAAAACGACTTAAATCCGTAAGATTTAAGTATAGGGCCTGACACAGTCAGACAAGCCTGCAATGCAATTAGGTAGTTGAAGGAGTAAGAAATGGGAACTGTAGCAACCCATTTCAGATTTCTAACCAGGGCTTTCACCAAGGAGACTGTAAAAACTCAACTCACTCACTGTTGCATCCCAAGAAAGATGTGGTCCCTCTCCTGGAGAGCACCTGCATGCTAGAGGAATGTTTTGCAGCGGTATAAATGGTGCTCTCAGGTAAAACCTCAGCACGAGCTCAGAAGGGAGAGGCCGGAAGGGAGGAATCACCTTCTGATTTAATCCCATTTTCATAGTGCATTCTGTTGCAATTTATTGTTGAGTAGGAGATACGTACAGTTCTGACATCTAGATTGCACTGAAGTTTTAAAACGAAATGCAATATATTATGTCAAGCACATTTTCTATTACGTATATTTTTATAAGACAACTGATTCCATATTTGAAGAATATATTTAGCATTAACTGTAACTTTCATTTCTGTGGCAGAGAAACACTAATTCAAGGGTTGTGTTAAAAAAATGCTTTGGATTGGGGACATTTTTAACTGAAAGGCAGACTCTGTGGAGGCTTCCAGGGAAGGGTATTTTGCCTGAAGAGTCACATCAAAAGCCCTGCCCAGCTTCTAAACTACGGGTTTCTTGAAAAGTCTAATCATTACATGTGTTTGTACCAAAATTCAGTCTGATGCAAACCGGGTCTATTTGTGTTCGTGCCCCTGCCCAGTTCAGTTATCGGCACGTATGTGAAATGCCGGATGAAAATACATACGTGCATGAAAAGTCCCCATCTGAACTTCATCTCAAAGATTAAATGGGGAAAATTCCTGAAAACTAGATTCAGAAACCTACATTCGGTGCCTAAGCAAAATAAGAAACCATTTTGCAGGGGGAGGGCAAGCTCCCAGGTGCTAAACGTGAGACGTGATATGAACATGGAAGGGGTTGGGTTTGGGGAGTTGCGCGACTGAAAATTGCAGACAACTACCGTCAGTCCAGAGTGCAACTCCTCGCGCCGCTCTGTATCACAGGTCTCAGCTTGGCCAGCAGCCCTGTCCTAAAAACACTCGTTTCTCTCCAGCACAACATCTATAAATGGAGCCCGAGACAACTGCGTCATAGAGCCTCTCAAGCTGGAAGGGACCCGTAAGGATCATCAAGTCCATCTTGACGGGTGCCTGGCTTGTAGGTACCTGAACTCCAGGGAAGCAGATCCCACCGAGCGCGAGGCCGAGCTCTGCTTCTGTGCTCTGAGGACACGGAGGCAGCAGGCAGGCGGGACTCGCGGCCTCCTGCCGCAGCGTGCCTCCAGCCGACGGCCCGGCCAGCCCCACCGCAGGCGCCTTCTTCTAGATCGGCACCTTGGAAACCAGCCTGGGTTTTAGATTATACAGAAAAGTAGTTCTACGTACCTTCGAAAGCAGCGATTTTGAATGTGGAATGTTTTTAGCAGTAGCGACTCCGCGTCAATGACAACTCAGTACTACCACTTCACCGCGGTGAGGAGATGGCCCCAGGTCAGTAGTGCCTGGCAAATTTATTTTCTGCAGTAACAGAGACTGAAATGGAAATCATGCATCTGATGCCTCAATTCCGCTTCATAGTATCACTATCTTACTGTCTCCTCTAAGTTGCTGGAAATATCCACGTGACATGTTTACCCTTCCAAAGATCAATACCTGTTACAAAAATAAACGCTGTTCTAGATGGAAAGCTGGCATTCAACAGCACTTCTTTTCCAGTAAAACTAGATACATATTGAGACAAGACATTTACAACTATGTGATGTGGTTTCCATCGAAAAATCTGTACTCTGTTAGCTTACTGGTTTCTAATGACAAAATACACCACTTCATTAATTATGCTCTTTCATGCTCTTCCCCCCGTAAGAATCCAAGCCTGTCTCTTCTAAACCTTACTAATCCAATCACTCATCTTTCGTGTGGATTTCACTCTGTGTTTGAAGGGAAGGATGCAGAGTGTTTTAAGTAACATAAAGAGAAGATGCGCTGAAGCAGTGCAATGTATCAGCAAGGTGACTCGCTGCCCTGGTCATTCTGGGCCACCAGTATGGTCAGAGGCAGGGACAGCACAGAGGGAAGCGGGGCAGGAGAAGACTACTTCCGAAGTAACCGGGCTCCTAAGAAATAAAACAGCAGCAACTGTTACCTGATCAACTGCTGTGTGAAAAAAGAAGTGGCAGTACGGAGCTGGTGCTGCACTGGACCTTTGCTGTTGAGTTCACATCCACGAGGCACAACACAGGATTCCAGGAACTCCGATCCCGAGCGCTGGCTGAGTATTCCCACAACACCAGACCTCTGGCTCTGGGATTGAGTTTTGAGACTTGCACGCGTGTACAAACCTCCACGTTGCCTCTGTTCATGCAACATCCTAACCAGGTCCCAGGCGCTGGAATTGTAAGTGGCATCACATCAAGGCACAAGGGGAATATTAAAGAAAGTGGGAAGGGTCTTGAAAAGTTAATATATTCATTTATGTATTTCAGTCAAGTATTTAATTGTGATATCACGCTGATGTAAATTTCAGATTTCACACCTAATGACTTTCAGTCGTGCATGTTTTGTAGCTAATGCTTCT